TCTCTTTGACAACAGCTTTTCTATGTGTAGGGAACTGTTGCTGTTGTTGTGTTATACAGCAAGAGTGTCGAGCTCACTGTACAGTCTGAAGTGAAACAACTCAGATAAAGGTTTTTCACCTCTGTAAGGACTAAAGTAGATGAGAGTGAGAAGCATTCTCCCAGTAACATAGACCTTGTTATTATTGAACTTGCTTGTAGTTGCTGTGGTTATTTTGCTGGAGTGCAGCTGCAGGGAGAGCGGGTTACAAATGTAATCAAAGCAGCAGCAGAAGCAGCAGCAGAGGTTGCTTCATACTTTCATCACAGGCTGGTTTTCTGACCAACACTGTTCACCTTTAATTACGTGGCTGTTGTATATTTTTTCTTGCAGAGAGAAAAGTAGCTGGGGTTCTAAGGCACCCCATCTTTCAATGCTACCTTTATCAGATTTGCAGTCACCACAGCTACATTTCATCTCAATGAAACACATGTGCCCAGTCGGAGCCAACTCAAACAGATGTTTCAGATTTAACTTCCCATCAGCCCCGGTCAACATGCTAACAACCAGGGATGCTGAGTGCTGTGGTCAAAACATCTGCAGATCGCCAGGCTGGAGAAGGCTGTGCTGAAGTGTGACAGAATGACACTGGGATCTGGCTTGAGTATGTAGAGAGGTAGACAATCACAGTGATTTAACCGATAGGAGGTCTGCCCTACCGTATTTATTCCCTCAAATGCCTGCTTCTCCATGTGAAGCTGCATGTGGAAGGGCCTTGCTGGGAACATGCACTCATGTCCTGTTTGTGGGTTTCCTGTGGGCGACTGACTGACCACTGTGCAAACAGAATGCTGGGCGAGGTGGACCTGTGGCCTGATGCAGCCTGCTCTTCTCATGTTCTCCCAAACTTATCTGGATTGGACCTAAGAGCTAGCACTTAGTTCTGGCTCTGTAGCTGCATTTGGACTCTCATCATCCCTCCCCATTTGCTATGCTGGCTTGGCCAGATGGGAGTTGTAGTCCAACAACAACTGGGAGGTCACCCATTCATGGTGTCCCTGATTCAGTTTATGAGGTTCCTCTAAGCCTTCTCTTTATTTACCTGTGTATTATATTTATATCCCTTCTTTTTTCCTTACAAGGCAGTCCAGGAGGCTTACGTACTTCTCTCCCTCCTCTCAGTCTCATCCTCACAACAACCACCCGGTGAGGTACACTGGGATTAGAGTCTGTGGTGACTGGCCCCAAATCACCCAGTCCTGCACTCTTCACCACTACACTTCACAGGCGACATGTCAAGGGAAGCTATACTGGACATGCGAGCAGAATGGCCAGTTATTTGAAAGGATCCAGCAATGACGCAGCTGCCTGTAACAGCTTTTCCTGAGGGGCTGGCCCTGCTGTCAGGCAGAGTGGGGCAACGACCGCAAGCAGCAGATTTTGGCTGACATAAAGTACAGCAAAATGTTCGCCATCTAGGCTGCGATCTTAAACATGCTTACCTGGAAGGAGGAGCCACGGAACTCAATTGTACTTACTGCTGAGTAGGCACGTGTAAGATCGCAGGGTCATGAGGGAGGGGGATGCAAACGTCATTTGCTGCTCCATCAAAATGGCTGGTTGAGTGCATCATACTCACAATGGAAAGTCTCTGCCTGGCTTCATCTGACGTTAAGAGATTCCTCACTCTCTCATTAATCTCTTCCCAGCTGGAACTGGGGCTGGACAATATCCTGAAAAATGTCAATGGGCTCAAGTCACTACATGTTCATTATTTTGCTTGCTACACAGACAGGCCCACCACATAACACAATGTTCAAGCAGTGTAGTTTAAAGCAACTCATCTACATTCCACCCCTTCTAAGGGCACAGTCCTATGTATGCTTAGACAGAAATAAGTGCCACAACTCCCAACAGTATTTTTGTTTAAACATGCACAGAATTGCACCCTAACACAATGATCTTAAACCACTAATTTGGAAGCCAAGTCCAATGAAATCAGAATGATTTAGTCTAGTGCAGAGGTGTAACCCTAAAAGGGGCTTCCCTAGAAGCAAAAATGACAAAACTGAGGCTGTCATACTTTGGACACACCATGAGAAAGCAAGACTCACTGGAGAAGACAATCATGTTAGGGAAAGTGGAAGACAGAAGAAGTAAAGGAAGAGCAAATAAGAGATGGCTTGACTCCATAAAAGAAGCCACAGCCTTGAATTTAGAACAATTAAGCAGCAATGTCATAAACAGGATGTATTTGAGAGCTTTCATTCATAGCCATTAGTTGGAGACAGCTTGATAGCACATAACAACAAAGCACCTGCTTTGCATTTGAAAGGTCTCTGAGTCTCTGGCATCTACCACTTTGTTTTGTTTTGTTTTTTTAAGATCAAGCCGCAAACGATGCAGAAAGCCTCTACCTATGGCCCTGGAGATTTGCTGGTACTCACTAGTCAACTGAGCAAGTAGCTTGGCTTGGTATAAGATGTCTTGCAAATGCAGGAGGAGGCGTCCTGTGGCCGTCTAAATGTTACTGGAGCCCAATTCCCATCACCTATAACCACTGGCAATGCTGGCCACGGCTGACGGGGCATCGCTCACCTATTTGATCTTAGAATCTGGTACTCAAGAGAGGTACACCGCCTCTGATCACAGAGCTTCTGTTGAATTATCATGACTGATTTCTATTGATAAACATATCCTTTGTGAGCTTGGTTACTTTCTGAAAGCCATCTAAACTAGTTCAACTTAATTCTGTTTAAAAAACAAATTATATTATGTAAGAATAAGCCAGATTTTAATTTGAATCTGAAAGAAGGCCATATGTGAATAGCTTTAATAGTCTGCAGACAAACAAAAAGGGAAATATAAACCAAGCATTGTCTAATGAAAATTGGCTTTAATTCGATTAGGACAAAATTCTATGCATGTTCAGTTTTTTTTTAAAGTTCCCAGCATTTCCTAGCCAACTTAGTGGAATGTTGTAGGATTTTTCTGCTGTCTAAACACACAGGACTGCACCTTTAATGTTGATGTTAATATGGTTTTTTTGCAAGAGAACACTGAAGAAAACCCTTGAGTCAACAAGCTTTTCATTTTACTTGGACAACTGTAATTGATTTTGGTTGTTTTTGTTTTTAATAATGAAATAGATTCTCATTCTCTGCACTTATGTACTGTAATTTTTTTAGAGTATTACATTGCACTTTTTGAAATCAATACATTAAACTATATTGTAACTTTTAAGTTGTAACCAAACTTTACCTTAACTTCTTAGCGATTTTTCCCAACACTTCAGAAGTATAAATGATACGGAAACACACAAACAATATTTATCATTATTTACAGTAGAGCCACCTGCTCGCAAAGAAATACACATCTGCCATATCATTCCAATCTTTGTCAAAGTCCTTTGCCAGATGTCACCAAATCTGAAAGTGAACTAGGTGTGCTAACTTTTTCTCAGATAGCATCCCAGGTAACAGAATGCCTCCACTAGAGATATCCACCAATTCTGTTAAGTTTTCACTGATAAATGGAAGCTATTGTCTTTGTCTGCAGTTTCAGTCAATTGATATGCTTGAAATACCCTAGATCAGCCTTCTCGAACCTGGTGCCCACCAGGTATTTTCAACCACAACTCCCAGCATTCCTGGCCAGTGGCCTTGCAGGCTGAGCCTGATGGGAGCTGAATTGAAAACATTCAGAAGGCCAGGCTGGGAAAACTAATAGTGTTTATTATCTTGATTGCAGCTGCATTTTAACTTTCCTCTAAGGGCTCACAGTTCTCTTCTCTCCCCCAGTTTCCTGTCACAACAACACTGTGAGGTGGCTCAAGCGGGGAGACGGCAACCAGCCTGTGATGGCACAGTGAATTTCACAGCTGAGCAGGTTTAGAACCAGGGTCTCTCCATGCCTTGTCCAGCACCTTCACCACTATACCTTACTAGATCTTCACTGACATCGTGAGCCCCCGTGCTATGAGACAGCAGAGTAAATGAATGTCAGGTTAGATTATGAGTTGACATGATATGCAAAACCTCTTCGTATCATGTGAGTGTCCACCTTTGTGAACGTAACTAATGAAAGTCTTTTTAACTCTTCTTCATGGTTGGGTGACTTGTGGTGTCCCTGATATTTTGACTTACAGCTTCCACCAGCCCTAGCCAGCACAGCCAGTGGTAAGAAATCATGAGAGCTGTTGGCTAAAACATCAGGAGGAACACATGTTGTCCACCCCACAGCTGGCCAAGCTGCTGCAAAAGTCTGTGACATCTGAAGAGGGATGACAAGGTCTATGGGCCCTGCTCTGGCATAGAAAGAGAGTTTTCTTCCTTTGCCTGTGCTCCCTGCTCCTCAGCCTAGTAAATCAGATAAAACTTTCCCAAGAAGCAGAGGACTGTGTCTGGGCTGTGGCAAGCACTACAGTGGCAATCTGTAGATTTGACATATAGCACACCTGCCAAAAAGGGTGGCCCCTTCTGACCAGTGTACGTTTTACACTGGCATTATAGACACAGCAATACCAAAATAAAAAAGGTATTAAGCTCCCATGTGAAAAAAAACTAGAACGAAATCCAAAGAGCTGATGGGCCCAAGGGCTGGAGCCCTTTCTACCAAGGACTCCTCACGACGCCCTCTCCCATGTTTTCCACGCGCCACCCTCTGTGCTGCCCAGCATGCAGCCGCATCACCACAGGCCACTCCTCCAAGCCCTGAAGTGCACAGCTGCATGGCCCGCTATTGTTGATCCCGCACAGAGGCACTGCTCTGCTTTAGTCTTTGACCTCTCTGTTCTACAAGTCGGTCACCAGCAAAATAACTCTCGTTCCTATTATGGCCAACAAAAGGCACCATTCCGCTGAGGAAATCAACTTCTGCCAGAGTGCTGACTGTGAACGCAAAGTACTTCTTCTTCAGAGCAATGACAAATAGATCCAAATGTGTGGAATTCTCTCAGATTTTGGGGGCTATTTATACCACAAGGTCAGGATTATTTATGGGACCTGCCTAGAACTGAGCTCCTATTCTTCTTTATCTCTGCTGATGAGCATCATTGCATTGTATCCTTCTGTAAGCATGAGAGAAAAAGAGTAAGAGGACTGTAGCTTTGACTTTTTCCGAACAAGGCATTCTAGATGTTAGTAATCCTCCAGGGAGCCTCATCAAGCCACATATCAGGCAACTCATGAAAGACGTGCAGGAGTCTTCTGCATTTAATCACTGGCACTGCTTGTATTTATTATGCTTTTCCAAATTATCCCAGATTGACACCTAATAAAGGCCTTCAAGGCAGCTCACAAAATACGTTTAAAAACAATTCTGCAATCAAAACAAAACAATCTGGGAATGGTGACCTGTATGGTGAAGTTGGCCTTCTCCTACCAGGACTTGGTGACCGGTAACGCAGTGGGGAGGCAAACGAAGCTTCATGGCAAAAAGTAGGATTGTTACTTAAGCAACTGGCAGATTCCTTTGCTTTAGGAGATGATGAATCAAGAGACAAACTGTCTTGCCCATCTGGTTCTCTGATCACCTGTGATGAAAAGAAGACTTCCAGTAGTTGGAACAAGGAAATTGGAGGAGGGCAAAAAGGAAAGAGATAAGCGGACACCTGTACTTAGGGTAGAGCTCTAGACAAAATGGTGAGGGCAGAGAGTATTTCCTGCATTTCAGATTTATACTCACAATCACACCGGCCCATCCAGTATCACACAAATAATCTCCTGCTCACACAGATCACGCCTTTACACACTAGATTTACCCTGATACAAACATAATTAAGTTGAAAAACTTTGTTGCACCACCTATTATTCAACCTTTTTGTAATCTGAGGAGGCGATATTAAAGATTTCCATTTTGAGGCAATTGTTATTTCTTCAGATAGTGCTCTGTTTTTTGACAACTGAAACACTGGTATCTTTATTATAAGATGCAAGGCTTTTATTGAATCCATGTAAAAATGCTACATGCATCAGTGGCAAACTACATCACATTTTATTCTGAATGTATTTCATAATTTCCATCTAGAATTTCTAGGTACTTCAGCTAGACACACACAAAAGCAACTGTTTCTCCGCCTCGCCAACACTTAGCTGTCTTTATATGGTTTCTTTTGTTTACTCATAAACCTTCTCATGTCAATTAACACTGGAATACTTTATAGTGATTTTGCTTAAAGTAAGGCTGCTGAAACAAATGGAAATATATCTTTCTTCATCTCTTAAGACACATAGGTGAGCCCATGCTTCAAATTTCATTTGAATCATACAAATTTCATTTTATGCAAATTATAGCCCACATTCATAAAGTGCACAGAAAAAGAAGGAAGAGGAAGACATTTTGTGCCCCCTTTGGATGATTGGAGTTGGACAATACATGGTTGTTCCCCACGGGTTAATTAACTTGCACATGCAAACGCCACTCAGGGGTTGGCTTGTCATGACAATTTGGTGACCGTGGATTATGCAAGGCTAGTTTAGCCCAAACTCACCAAGGATCATATGACACAAAAATTCTCAAATTGGATCTTCAGCTGCATATTCAAAATTCTGGCTGTGTACTCTGCAGCCTGCTACTGGCTTATATCGCAAACCTGGCAGCCAAGTCATTCAAACAACTCCATTATATTATTTCCTGCTTCACCCTCCCAGTGCTTTTGGCTGTGTAACTCTAGTTTTTCTACCCTTCCTCCAACTTTACCAATAAATTACAGGTTCCTTCAATTCTAAAAATCCAATATATATACCTACAGTGGTACCTTGGCTCATGAACTTAATCCATTCCAGGGCTCTGGTCGTGACCCAAACTGGTCGTGACCCAAGTTAAATTTCCCCATATGGTTCAATGTAAATAAGGTTAATCCGTTCTGTGACCATTTTTTTCATCAGAAAAATGTAAAGCAAAGTGACAAAGAACAACAAAGATCGCGGCCTTCTTCCCCTCTCCCCTCAGCACAACCGAGATTGCACCTGTCATCCCTGCACACGCCCATCATCCTGGCATGCTGGGCGGCGGAGAGAGGGCATGATCGCAGGCACACCAGGGGAGGGAGAGACAGGCGTGATCGTGCTGGTTGAGGGGGGGAGATGGCCAAGATTGCACCCGTCTTTACTGCAGGAGCATGCCTGTGATCACACACGTCTTTCTTGCACCAACACAACTGTGATCGTGGCCATCTCCCCACTCGGGGGGTGGGGAGATGGATGTGATCTTGGTCACCACCCAATGCGGAGTTTGTGACCCACGTCAAAATTTTCGTGACATTTTTGTTCATGACCCCATTTGGTCGTGAACCAAGGCATTTGTGAGCTGAGGTACCACTGTATATATATTCCATTATATACATGGCAATATATTGCTTGTGCATAATTTATCCAGGAGTGCAGAATTTAGGCTATTTATTTGTGCAGAAATGTAATAATTCTGCCCAGCCACATTGAATTTTCCACGAATTCTCTCAGCAGAATGCAAAATTAAAATACACTATGAAAGGTAGTGTTTTTAAGTACTAATTTTGATTGGGAACTAGCAGCTCATTTGCTTTTTCCTATTTTAATGATCATGAAGTCCTTGTCAATGGGAAAAAAGATCAGAAGTAGTCCTGGGAAAGCATAAGGAACCACATCTTAGAAAACCACTTCAACCACTTGTTCACAGTAGACAGCTGAGAGGCAAGATGACTGGCTTCTATCAGGACCAATATCATACACATTTTATTGTAGAGTATAATATGCTTTGCTGAAAGTTATACAGACTGCATCCCTTTCCCAGCCATAGACAAAAGCCTATTTTTTCCTTATGTATTTGTAATGTTCTAATCTCAATTAACTCCCATGGAAAGAAAACTGCCCCATTAAAATCAGATATATTTCATCAGTTAAACATAGTTTTACAGACACACTTCTAGCATTACCTTAGCTGCTGGACATGCTGTTTTCCAGCTATCAAATGATAACGCTGCAAGAAAAGAATGAATATCCGATCAGAATTAAACAATCCTTGCACCGTATAAAACATATGTAGAAAGAGGACTGAGACAAGATGGTTCAATATGAGCTTTCTTTCTAGGTCAATGTTCTGCAATATTTAGTGTCTAGAATGGACCTCCTTGTCTTGGTAACTGTAATTTCAACGCAGAACTTTGGCTTTTCCTGCTACTAGTTCTATATGTAGTATATACGGCTGCCCAACAAGATACTGCCATAAAATATTCTGGCTCCAGGGCAGGACTTAGGGGTAGAACCATTTGAATCTGGAGGCAGCGTTCAGAGGGGTCTGGATGTATATCCAGAGACTGAATTGCAGATGTTCCAGGACAGGATCAGTGTCTGAGTTAGTAAAATGGAGAATGCAGAACTCAATGAAAAGGAAAAAGAGGTGACGCGGAAACATCAAGAGTTTTAGAAAGGAGAGAGGCATTCCTATATAGAAGAAGGTAGCCTTACATGAGTTTGTCATGGCTTTATTGTTTTGTTTAAAGGGTTGCATAAACTTTCCACTGAAAGCATTTATAAATATAGAGCAGTATCTAATGCAGCTCTCACATGAACATAAATGTTGTTGCACTGGCACAAAGATACCGACAGCAATGCCAATAGTGTTAGCTGGGGTGATGGGGTTTCTGGGGAATTCTGTCAGGCCAACTATATTGGCATTGTGCTAGAGGTCCCCTTGCATTAGTGCAATGTAATTTATATTACCACTTGTGTCGTACTGCAGAGAGAAATAAAATGCTGCCCTGTCAGTGTAGGCAAGGGAAAGTTTATTTCATGTACACCACTGAACAAGTACCTATGACACTCCTGTAGCTACTGGTGGGATTTGGGGTGGGAATACAAGCAAACTGGCACAAATGCCAATAGTGAACAAGGCTCAAAATGCTGTGGTTTACCAATCCAGCAACTTTGCATTAGAAGCACTTTCTTAGGGAAAGACAGCTGGCTGTCCTCCCTGGCTGTGCAAGACTGCACACTCCCTTCATTGACAATCTCTCACCTGAAAAGGTCCTTAAATTTCAAACACATCAAAATCCCTGTTTGCCTTTGGCAGCCTTTTCTAATATGCACCTTCCTGCATGCAATATCTTACGCTAGCAGTTGCTGAAGCCTTGTCTGTTTTGCCTCTGCATGACTGTCGGCCAGCCTTCCCCAGCCTGGTGGTCTCAGATATGGCATGGTGCCAATGACCATGCTGTCTTGGGAGCTGCAATCTAGCATTTGAAGGGCACCAAGATGGAGAAAGCTCCTGTGAGCAGTAAAAAGCCTAAGAAGGCACAGAAACAAAACCCGATGAATATGAGCATTCCTAGGCATGAACAGCATCATAGTCAGAGAGGGTTTGGCCCATGTGACACACTTGATCCTACCACTCAGCACATCGTCTAGCATAGCCTTCTCCAGATGAACAGGTCTATAGCTGTCATCATTCTCTGGCCAGTATATTGGCCATCCTGTTAGGGTGACTGAATATTCAGTCCAGAGGGCTCTGGGTTGGGGAAAGCTAGACTAGTTCATCAACACAATATCTGATACAGTGCAGAAAGAGAACAGAAATGTGTTGTGCTGCCTTAGGTGTGCACATGGTGGCATCAGAGCGGATGGATCTGGACATCCATCGAGCAAAGAGACTGCTGAGAGACCTGCCATCAGCCCCTACTGCTGGGCTGCACAGCTGCTCCAGCCATGTGGTCTGTGATCTCCTTTGTATGGTAGCAGTAGGGATCATTGTGTGATTTACAAGGGTGGATTGCATACATGTAGCATGAAAGCTGCTGCCCTTGCCCTGGAAGCCTCTTCCTCTAATCGCAGACACTTTGAGGCTTGCTGGAGCTATAGAATAGAAAAGCAAAGTGCTTTCCAAGGACACTATCTTCATTTTTTTCCTGTTCATATCTAAAAGCAAAAATGGGGCTAGGCAGGCCCACAGATATCTAGAACTAGGTTTGCCTACAGTGGGCCTTAAACTATTTTCTGTACTAAATTACTCTGTCATATTAAGAGGGAGAGCTCCTTTCACCCAGACATCTTAGCAGGGGATGAGACCTGCAACAAACATCCAGATGTGAAACCCACCACTTTGCGGCAAACCCCACTAATTTTCATGAGACTGACTTAACAAAGTTTACTATGGACACAATGCTTCCTGGGATACCCTGTTGAGGAACATCCAGCTTTCCACTGAAATCAATGAACTGAGATTAGATCTTCATCTAAAGGAGTAAGGATGAGAGTTTGGCCTGGAGATCACACAACATAATTTTACCTGGTCTTCTTTCTCATCAGTATGTTGGCAAACTCTTTGACATTTTATTAGATTAAGACGGGGATACAGATCCTCAGGCCCAAGAGCCAAACCTGGCTTTCCTGGA